TGGGCTAGAAAATCAATAAAAATGGACTGGTCGTATCTTTTTTTCCAACAACAACAACAACAATAATAATAATAATTCTTCTTCTTCTTTTCCACACACGTAAGTGTAACAACTTTCGCTATTAACGAAAATATATTAATGAAAAACCAGTGAATAGAAGAATGGCACCTTGACGTGAGGGCGTCGCTCCACTCAGTTTCGACGGTGATGCGGGGTTCGCCGTTTACATCGTTCTCCGAATGTGGAGACGTCACCACCGGCTTACTACCACGGAACCAAGCCACTGTGCCTAAATCGTGAGGTCCTTGAGACATCAGACAAGTGAGCGTGAGCAGACTGCCGGTTTTCACGTAGATATCCGGCGGGCCGCTTATTCTGGCTCGTGCCTCTGCGAACAAAAATTATTCCCTCCCATTAATCACTCGCCATTATACTCGAACATCTTTCGATTCGAACATTCCAAACTGTGTCATTAACAACAGAAGCTTTGAGCGCACAGAACTGTAAAGCACATTTACATCAACACCCTTTGAGCCTTTGATCCGATACAGAAAATAATCAGCTTAGTTGCGTGTTGGAAGTGCAAAGACACGATATGTAAAATATATATAAAATATATATATATATCGAATAAATCAGTCGAAAGGCGAATGAATTTTTCGCTTCTCTCGCTTCGGATGCATATGTCAATAGGTACTCAAAGGGTTAAAGTGTATTTAACATTTCCAAATGTTTTGTAAAAATTAATCTGCCAGGAGCCAGAGGAGTCAGCAGGCTGTGTGTTGGACACACACGGTTATTAATTACGAAAGATTCGATCGTTGCACTTGTTGGCCGTGTTGGTGCGGCGCGTCAGCCGTGAATGTCGGTCACGCCTTAAATTTTCAGTGTCGTAACCTGTGCGGAGCGGTTGCGGGGATGAAACGATAAGAAGGGGCTGGGACGTCGAGCCATCGCCGTCAAATAGTCGCTAAATGCCTGCTTTCCAGGCTGTGTCAATTTTAGAGACTATTATCCGATATCCGACGCCGATAAATTATTCATATCGCGAGCGAATCGCGTCGTATGTATAAGCAGCGAGAGCCCGGGGTTCAGCTATCCTGGGGATTCGGTTCGACCTACTTTCTCATTAGCACGCGAATGTTTCCTCGGCGGTGTGCATTTATAATGGCCGCGCGAGTAATTACGCGCGAGCGAAATTGTCGCGAACGGAGGAGGAGGAGGAGGGGGGGAGGGGATTTCGAAACTTCGAAACGTACAGGCCCGTTAAATCGCGAATCGAAATTGCAGTCGCGTCGCTGCTTGTACGAAATAA